AGCTCAGCCTCTCAAGTAGCTAGGATTACAGGCATGCATCATCATGCCTGGCTAATTTTCTTTTATTGTTTTGTGGAGACGGCGTCTCACTATGTTGCCCAGGCTGATCTTGAACTTCTGGCCTCAGGCAGTCCTCCCACCTAGGCCTCCCAAAGTGCTGGGATTACAGGCATGAGCCATATTTTTGTTGTTTGTTAACCTAAATAAAGATTTTATAGTTCCATTATATTTTATGTTTCTGCTCATTGTTGTCTGTCAAATTATCATTTTTCTAAAATGCATATTTTAATTTGCGAAAGTACAGTTTAGAAATAGATAGTGCTGTCTGGGGTGTGGCTCATGCCTGTAATCGCAGCACTCTGGGAGGCTTGGGTGGGAAGATCACTTGAGAGCAGTACGGACACATAGCAAGACCCCATCTCTACAAAAAAAAAAAAAAATTTAATTTACCCCACCTTAGCAGCAGGCACCTATAGTCCTAGGTTCTCGGGAGGCTAAGGCAGGAGGATCTCTTGAGCATAGGAGTTTGAGGCTGCTATGAGCTGTGGTCACACCACTGCCCTCCAGCCTGGACACCAGAGTGAGGCCCTGTCCCTTTAAAAAAAAAAAGAAAGAAAGAGAGGATGTAATACTCTTCTGATATAAAACACCAATGAAAACAATTTGTTTTTAAATCATTTCTGTAATTTTCAAAGTCCTGAAACTAAGGTAACACTATAGTGATATTTTTGGATAGGTTGATAAGATGTAATAATCTAAACTGAGTCACATTAATAAACAATGCTCTTTAAGTGTTTAGGAAAAAATATTTTTTTTCATTGTGAGACAGAGTCTCACTCTGTGGCCCAGGCTAGAGTGCCTTGGCCTCAGCCTAGCTCACAGCAACCTCAAACTCCTGGGCTTACGCGATCCTCCTGTCCCAGCCTCCCAAGTAGCTGGGACTACAGGCGTGCGCCACCACGCCTGGCTAATTTTTTCTATTTTTAGTAGAGACGGGGTCTCACTCTGGGTCAGGCTGGTTTCAAACACCCGACCTCAAGCGATCCTCCCACCTTGGCCTCCCAGAGTGCTAGGATTACAGATGTGAGCCACCATGTCCTGTCTATTCTGGGGAAATTTTTAAGACTCTAAAACATTTGTCAGTTAAATTGTTCACATAATTAGGACTGTGAATTTAAAAGAAATTTAAGTTATCGATACAGATGGAAATATATTTAGACATGAAGTGCCAGTAATTTTTTCATATGGAGCAATTCTTAAAAAGCATGTGTTGTGTTCTCTGCATTAAATGCTAAGTGTTAATGTTTCCCTCATTCTGGTTAATAGAAGCACTTCTAGCATCCTCTTTTACTTTTCACATTAACATTGCAACTTTAAGTTCAGTATTGATATATTTAGTCGCTATTTGCATGAAATGCTGATCCAGTATGTTAAAACTAAACATGGGCAGAGAAATTTTGTAACAGAGAAAATTATTTTTGTCTTTGAGCAAAGAAAAAAACAAAACCATATATATGTCATTGGGCCAGGAGACGATGTATGATCTTTGCCTGTATTCCAAGGTTATGTTAATAATTTTAAATGTAAATAA